TAGTATCAAATCAGGATGTGTGTTTCCTTTCTCTTTCAAAAATATTATTTGCAGGGCTCAGGAGAAGCAAAATACTGAAAGTTCCGTCACAGAACCAATGTTTTTTCAATAGTACAAATTGTTAAAAGACTGCTAAATTTTCGTGGGAGCAACATTCTGAAGAAAATACATACCTTAATTTGATTAAAATACTCACAAAAAATTTGAGTCTGATCAGACGCACATTGTGAGAGAAAATTTCGTTTTCTTTTATTCAAAAATTGATGTTTAGAAAAATACAAAACTAACTTTCCTATATGTATTAGGATTTTTTTCCTTCAATTAAAGTGGTCAAAAATGGGTCGTGTTCATCGGTGTTAGAGGTATGACTCCTGCTCTCAACACTTTCAGAAATTATCCTTAGGAGAATTTTGCATGCCGAGAATAATTGCAGCACGAGTTTTTCTGCAAGGAATTTCGAGATTTTGGGTTAAATGAACTACCAACGAAGAGCCCTCATTTATATGGCATTTGACAGAAGATACTTCAACACTATATTAACGATGAAAAACCAAAAAGCAAAAAAATTTTAATTCTAACATCTGAAAAGGCGATTCGCACAAGAGGTTTTACTGTAATGACTAGCGAACTAAAATTCATCATATGACTTACTTGTTAAACGACTTTTACGACGACAAGATAATGGACTACGTTTACGAAGTACATTACTAACATCAATCATACGTGATAATCGAGATCTATTATATATTAATCATAATAAAATAAAATGAAAGAAAAAAAACATAATTCAATTTTCTTACTGAATTTCATCACTTCTAATTAAACATTGATTTAATGCTTGATCATAATCAAATGTTGTATCATTTATTTGTCGATGACCACGAACTATTTCAAGATCTTGTTTTAATATTTGTGATACAGTATTTGTTTCATTAATTGAACGTTGTATTGTATATATATATGATCGTATACGTTCAAGTTCTTGATTTAATGCACTATTACTTGCTTGATCATATTCAACCTAAAATATTTTCATTTACGATTTTGTTTTTTTTTTAAATAAGCAAAAATCTTTTCGTTTTTTTTATTACTGTTGGTAAACGTTCATTTTTATCAACTAATGCACGTAATCGTTCAATTTCCATTTGTAATTGTATTATTTGTCTACTATGTTTATCTTGATTAACTTTAACACGATTACGTATATTACGTGCACGTTGAGCATAATTTAATGTACTTTTTGTTTCAGAAAAATCACGATCAACTGGTGAAATACAAGCAATCATTAATGTTCGACTAAAGACAAAAAATAGATTGTTTATTTTTCGAAAATTATTAATTCTTAAAATTTACCTATTTCCACCTAATGAATCTTGTAATAAACGAGTTAATTTTGAATCACGATAAGGTACATGTGCACCTTTTTTCATTGGATCACCTAAGATTGATATAACATTACCAAGAACAAGCTAAACGAAATAAATAATTAAAAAGAGAGAAAAAAAAATATGTCTTAACATACCAAACCACTATTAATACTAATGCCTTCTTTAGCACGTTGACCTGTTGCACCTGTTCGTTTTAAACTTTCTGAACCAGCTAAATCGACAAAATGAATTTTAGCACGAAATTGTTCACGTAAATTTGAATTTGATGTCTAAATTGAAAATTAAATATATATATACATATGAAAGATTTTAGTTTTTTCTATTTAACTTACAGATACTGATGAAGCAACACGTTCAAATTGTAAATTAACAGTAAATATGGCGTGTGATCGACTTGACACACTGTTCATACGTGTTGATGCTGTTGTTCGACTCAGAGCGCCTTCTTTTAAACAATCCAGTGTCTATAAATTGACAACAAAAAAAAATCATTAGATTACTGAAATGCTTTTTTTCAAAACTTCCACTCAATGCTCACGATCGAATATATCGCTTTGAGTAAAAAAAACAGAGCCAATCTTTAGTCAAGTACATTTAAATCGCATGAAGTTTTCAGAAGATATTCAACAAACAAGGATCAAAAATAGCTCATTTACCAATCCGAAATTCTTTGTAGGCCATCATTCTATAGATTTACTTTTTTTATTTATTTAAAAGAACAGGTTCTGCATCTTAACATACTCTTTCTGATGAAAACTGACTTTGAGAGATGCTCTAGATTAATTAAAATAAAGAGGCAACGAACAAAGACAAAATCCTCAATTCCCATTTAAGTTTATTGTATCAAGTTTTAACTATAAAATATTCTACTAGATATTTTATCAAGTATTTCTCATAACTTATCATTAAATAAAATAACAAACCTCTTGTGCAGTTGTAACAAATCGTGTTGTAATATTAGTAACAGCTATTTCACCATTACTATTTTCAAATACAACATGTTTATCAGAATTTTTTTGTGAACGAAAATCAATATTTTCTTTATTAAATAAATCATAGATGTTTTCATTATAAATCTATAAATAATAAAAAATAAAACTTAATCTTAAATTTATAATACGTTTTTATTTTTTTCATACTTCAATAAATTGACATGAAACAACACATTTTGATAGAGCAATACCTTTTGATTCAGCTTCACGTTCATAACTTGCACATCGTTGAAATATATGCATAATAGCACGAGGTAAAATACCTTCTTTACTCGGATCATTATATTCAATTCCACTACCCATAGTAAAAGTTTTCCTACATTTATTTTAAAAAAACCAAATATTAGAAAAAAAACTTCAAAAAAAAAAGATAATTATTACCCAGAACCCGTTTGTCCATAAGCAAGTATAGATGCACTATAACCTTGAAAACATCCTTCAATCATATCGTAAACACATTCACGATAAACATCTTCTTGTATTGTTTCTGGTAAAAATACATGATCAAATGTAAATGCTGTACTATTAGCAAGAATTATTTCATTTGTTGTTCGTTGTATATCAACACATGTTTGACATAGATCATGTTCTTCATTTTTTGATAATGGACGAACACTTCAAAAAAAAAACATTTTTTTTTAATTTTAATTTTAATTTTTACTTACCGAACCGCAGCTTTCACACAACTAGCAATTTCTTTATTTAGATTAGCCGATTCCATTTGATCGGATACCGAAATTCATGCGCACTAAGGCGGCAAAAGAACGAAATGACAAGAATAAAGAACTCATTTAGGACAAAGGATCTCGCTCGCGCGTTGTTGTCACTATATGTTACATTAATAAATATTGATTTTTTTATTTTTTATCTAATAAATATATATTTTTAATTCATAGAAAAATATAAAAAATAATAAATTATAATTAAACATAAATATTGAAATAGATGTCGTTGTTAGAATTTTAATTTGAAAATTTTCAATAAAATATTCATAAATTTGAATGTATATTATTTATTTTAATTTAAAATAAAAATAATTTAATGAAATATTTTTTGAGAAGTTTCACGATGCAACATTCGATAAGTTATCTATGAAAACCAATAGAATCTTCTACAAAGAAAAAGATGTAGCATTCGACGGGAAAGAAAAGGAAGGAAAGGAATTATTTAATCTTTTTTTTCTTTCTTTTCTTCTATTACATTTCTTTTTTTTTTGCTAGTGTGTGTGTGTGTGTGTATGTGTTGAGACAGAGTAACACAGCAGCGCAATTGCATGATCATATACAACAATTCTATTCTGACAAAAAACTCAATTAAATATCTTTATAGATTTTTTTTGATACTTGAATATATCTACGAATTTCTAATATAATCGAATAAAAATATGGACAGTGACCAAGAGTCATCCGAAGTATGTGAAAACAGGTTAGAATGACAATGATTTATTCATTGATATTTTTATTTATAGTGTCCACTGTGTTTGGAAGTACTTGAAGCTGATGATTTGAATTTCTTTCCATGTACATGTTGTTATCAAGTAATAGATTTTGACTTTCTTTTGTTTTTTATTCGTTAATTGATTGATTATAATGAATATTTTTTGTTTTAATATTAGATTTGTCGGTTTTGTTGGCATCGTATTCGAACAGATGAAAATGGATTATGTCCTGCCTGTCGAAAAGTATGAATTTTATTCAAATAAAAACAAAAATATTCTACTAGATGAATTCTTATTAATTTCTAGCCATACAGTGAAAATCCGGCACAATTTAAACCATTAACTGATGAAGAGTAAATATTAATAAAAAAAAAAATTTATAATTTTTGTTATTTGATTTAGAATTCAACAAGTAAAACGCGATAGAAAATTAAAAGAATCCCATAAGAAACCAAAAATCACTGAAAGTCGCAAACATTTGGCAAATCTTCGGTATATTCATTGTTTTTTTTTGTTTTTATTTTACATAAATATATTTATTATTGTCTTTTTATAGAGTCGTGCAACGTAATCTTGTATTTGTCAATGGTCTTCCATCACGTTTAGCTGATACTGAATTATTAAGACGAAATGATTATTTTGGTAAATATGGTAAAATAGTTAAATTAGTTACATCACCAGCACACAATGGACAATTAAATTCTATATGTGTATATATAACATATTCACGTTCAGAAGAAGCATTACGTGCTATACAAGCACTTTGTAATTATCATGTTGATGGTCGAACATTAAAAGCAACATTAGGTACAACTAAATATTGTAGTCGATATTTAAAAGGTGCATCATGTCAAAAAGCCGATTGTCTTTATTTACATGAACCAGGCGATCCATTAGCTAGTTTTACTAAAGAACAAATGCAACAAGGGTAAGACAACAAAAAACAAAATTTTATAGAAAAATCATATTTTTATTTGTATGTTTAGTCTACATCTTGAATATGAACGAAAACTTATGGAACAGTTTACAAATAAAAGTATATCAGGACAATCAAATACAACACCAAAAACTGGACGAACTATGGCAAATGGGTATATATATATATATATTCTTTGTATTTTTGTTTTTTTGTTCAATAAAAATTCAATTTTAATATTTTAGTAAAAAAACTGATTCAACACAACGACGAAAAAATCCTACACAAACAACATCATTAATACCAACGACAAATTCAGCAATATCAACAAATGGAAATTCAGATTTAGAATCAGGTGATGAAATTCATCATCATACATTAAATGGTTATAATAGTGAAACATTTACACGTACAAATACAATCAATGTTGATTCTGATACAACATCAACATCATCACAAACATCATCTGAACATGATCCACAAGTAACATCATTAACAATTCAAACTACTCAAACATGTAATACGTCTCCAACAACAACAACAACAAATTGGCCAGATGAACGAACATCTTTTTTTGCAA